ATTAGGCAAGGACAACCCACCTTCCTCTTTTTGTAGTTGAAGTGTCTTTCCGGCCCAGATAAATCTAGATATAGTTTTGTCCCAGTATCTGAATTGTATTTCTGGGATCATTTGTGGAATCTGAATTGTATTTCTGGGATCATTTGTGGAATAGATTGGAAAAGGTATAATAATCTTGGTAGCACATTCTCTGCGTCAAGGCTCACTAACACAGCTCTCAGTCCCTGTTTTTGAATCTGATCTATTATGTGTAGGACACGCCTAATATTAAGCTGTTATGAAGCCTGACTGATCTTTGTCTATTAAGTCAGACATAACATTTTCAAATCTTTTAGAAATGATTGAAGTAAAAATCTTATAATCCACATTTAGAATCGAAATAGGGCTGTAGGATTCGCAGTATTCTTTATTTTTCCCTTCTTTTGGTATAACTGAAATTATGGCCTCTTTCCAGGAGGGGGGAGTTTACCCTCAGACAGAGTAACATTGAAAGAGTTCAGGAGTAGTAGAGATAACTCTTCCCTGAAGGTTTTATACCATTCGCTAGGGAACCCGTCGCTGTAGGGTGTTTTGTTTGATTTTAATTTACTAATTGCGGCATTAAGTTCCTTCTTAGGGATGTTGGAAATTAATGTTCTATTTTGTTCTTCTCCAATAGCTGGTAAATCCAACGAGTCAAGGAATTCTTCCATTTCACTTTCTTCTTTTGCAGTAGATTGGGAATGTAAGTTTTCATAATAATCTTTAAAAACCTTTTCTATTTCTTCAGGTTCAAATAGTATTTGATTTGTGACAGGGTCTCTGATCTTATGTACTGTATGTGAGGCTTTCTGGGCCCTTAAGTTGTCTTGCCAAACATTTGGTTGCCTTTGGGCCTGATTCATAGAAGGTTTGTTTAGTAAACCTCAGTTTTTCTCGACCTCTTGGCTTAGGATTTCATCTGTCTGTCGTCTTACACTGATTATTTGTTGTAAAACAGATTCATTTTAAATTTTTTTATTTTGTTGTTCCAATGTTATTACCTGTTTAATGAGCTTTTTGTAATTTTCATCCCCCATCTTTTTTGGTATAATGCTCTTGCTATTAACCTCCCTCTCATTTTGGCCTTAACTGTGTCCCATAGTATGGTAGAATCCACTGGGCTGTCCTTGTTGTCCTCTATGCAGCGATTAATCTCTCTTTTAATTTCCTCCTGTGTTTTTGGATTATTCAGCATACCTACATTAAATCTCCATAGTGTATTTTTATTTCTCCTATTTAGATGGATATTGAGGTGAGTGATTTCAGAATTGGGTGGCACATATATATTAACCAAAGTAACTACATTATTATCCATTTTCCCTTTTACAATGACATACCTCCTCTCTTTGTCACTTGTTTCTTTGATGACTTCAAAATTAACAGAGTTAGAAATTAATATGGCAACTCCTCTCTTTGGGCCCTTAAAAGAGCTAGAAAAGACATTTATAAATCTTTCCTTGGCTTGTACCGCTGCTATGGTGTAGCTCCTCCGGGGTCTCTCTTTGTGTTCCCACTCCATCTCTGCGCGAAGCCGTGGCTCTGGCCCGCTGTCCTCCGTCTGAGCGTCCGTTGGTGTCAGGGTTTTCTCTGTGGCGTAGTCGTGATCGAATGACAATATTCTATTTCCCAGCTGTATTTTCTTTTTCCACACCTCTCTCGTGACTCTCTCTTTGGTAGTGAATTCAAGGAAATTCACGATGATGGGTCTCGGCTGGGCTCTGTCTGCAGGTCTCTGCACGAGTGACCGATGTGCTCTTTTGATTTGGAGGTTAAAATCCTCCGGCAGGTCAAATTCGCATCTGAGCAGGCCCTGCACAAACTTGGCCACAGACTCACCCTCTCCTCCCTCCGCGACTCTGTAGGTACAGAGATTATTCCTCCGCGACCTGGACTCGAAATCAGTTAGCTTTACCTTGAGAGCTTTTTGGTCTTTCAGTGAGATAATGAGAGCGTCGTTAGCCTCCTGTGCCCAATGTTCAAGCTTTTCAACTGCGACTCAGCCTCTATTTTGCCGCTCTGCTGTTGTTCAGTGGCGATATTAATGAGTTGTTTTTTTCATGTCTTGTTTGAAATCATTGAAATCTTTTCTCACGTCGCTCCTCAGTGTTTCCCCAAATGCGCGAAAGGCATCTTTAATTTCTGTTTTCAAATCCTGTATCTCCTTGCTGATAAATTCTAGACCCGAGCGCATTTCCACCTCACATCTAGAAGTATGCGTTGCTTCGTCGTTGCCATCTCAATCCATTTCGCGGTTAGCTAGCGATTCCTCTAATTTGTCTTTCGCCGTGCTTTTGGTCTCATTGACTCGAGTTTTCCTTCCCATTCCAACTTCCCCCTGGTCACCTTCCAGTTAGGATGGTTTGTAACTCAATTTCTTCAAGTTTTCTGAGAATTGTACCCTTGACTATGGAGAGCTCTGATTCCACGTGGCCTACGGCTGCATGTCCTAACCGGAAGTCCAGACAGCACATTTCATGTGTACCTACGGGGTGTCAGATAAGTTGGCGGCCATTCTATGTGGCCCAGGACGCATTAGCGTTTACACTACGAAAGATATGTGGTCAAATACATCCGAGACCACCTCGGGAAGTGGTTTGAGTGATCGGATCACAATTAGTCTTGGCGGTTGTTCACATTTAGAATGGTCTACTTGTGATCAGATCACCCAAGTTGCATTCTAATACCAGTTGTAAACAGGCTCTATGTGTCTCAGCTTTCCAGTCATTCCCAATTTATGCAATTCCAATACTGTTTAGAGTCCCAGTATGTAGTTATATTCAAATACACAAACATAACAATTTTATACTACATGCAAAAAAACTGCATGGTTTTTTCCTAAACTGCACAGGACTAGAATAAAGTGGATATTTTAAAGGGGAGACTTGTGGGTACCAATAGAACCCATTTTCATTCAGATATCTTAAGGTCAGAGGTGAAGGGACCACTTTGAAAAAGGCCATGCCAGTTTTTTTGCCTAACTTTGGAGCATTGTTTAGCCCCTTCCTGACGTGGTAGCATGACATGCTACCAATGGATGCGTTAGATCTTCATATCTTTCATATGATACTAGTATGTCACTAACTTTAAAAAGGAGCTCACTACACACTCTGAAAGACGAGTGGAAGAGATAAGGATAATGCGGTGGCCACCCCTGAAATCTGACTGCCCACCATAGGCCCCTCCTCTGGACACCCCCTTATCCACAGGACACAGCAAACGTGGCACACAGTTTATGTATGATATGGGAACATGTGCAATATGGGTGCATGGCTGTGGCAAAATGGCTCAATTACAACTGTGGCTTGCACTTGTTTATATTGGGCAGGCACAACGGACTGACTAAAATACACGCAAATTTTGACAATATCCTTATATCCTGTATTCTTTATGACTGAATATGACGAAAAACTTTTTACAGACATACTGTTTAACAATGAATTCTAATCGGCATACAGTTCAGATCCCATACAATGGATCTAAATGTCATGGGACAATCCTCCCACTCTGGCCTCTTATTTGTGAGAGCATGCAGCTAATAAATGGTAAATGGACCTGTACTTGTATAGCGCTTTTCTAGTCTTCTGACACTACATGCCACATTTGCCCTTTCACACACATATGGCAAAGTCCATCAAACAGAAACTAAGTCATTCATTCACATTCACACACCTTTGACACATCATCGGGAGCAATTTGGGGTTCAGTATCTTGCTCAAGGATACTTCGACATGCAGCGGGGGATTGAACCAACAACCTTCTAATTAGTGGACGCCCCGCTCTACCTCTGAGCCACAGCCACCCCTAATAGATAACTGGAGCAACGCAAAATGTGGAGCTCCATAATTTCTGTTCTTTGTATGCAGATAGTTAACATAGACTATTTTGACAATAATTGTTTGGGTCATGGGGTGTACTGAACCAAGGAAGTTGCATACCAAACCGAACTTCCTATAATGAACAGTTCAGGACGAATAGCATTACATGACTTTTTCTGTCATTGTATATGAGTGAATATTATTGTGAATACTCCACACAGTAGTTGAGTACATTTAGTGAGATTTCATATTGTATCTTTTGCTTTTTATTGATGCTTGTGAATATACACGCTGGTCTATTTAATGTTGCACAAGAGTGAATGGTGCCAGCCTTTGCTTGAGCCTCTGATATTTGATTTGTATATTCAGCAGGGGTCATTCTTTCTAGAGGATGGACCTAATTCATTCAGTAATCCTGTGGTTTTTCTTCTAGTGCCACCCTTACACAAATCTATACACTTGCACACAAGATACATACATTCATAATAGCACATGGTGACAAATAATATTTCCAGCCACTGAATGTAAGTGCTTCCATTTTCCAAGCTAGCTTCCTCCATGATTACCAAAATGAATCCAAGAATGTTGTTGGATTGTTGAAATGAGTAGAAGGGTGTCAACAAAAGTAATGGTTTAAATCATTATTTTTTGGGGGGTAACTGTAATATTAGTAGTATATTAGTGAATATTGTTAATGGACTGTACTGTGTAGTGCCTTTCCAGTGGTCTTCCAACCACACAAAGCTCTTTACACTACATGTCACATTCACTCATTTGCACAGTGATGGCAAAGCCCATCATAAACAGAAACTAATACTCATTCATACACTGATTGCACCGGGAGCAATTCGGGGTTCAGTATCTTGTTCAAGGAGACTTCAACATGCAGCAGGCGGAGCAAGGGACTAGTGGTTAGTGAACGACCCGCTCTATCTTCAGAGCCACAACCGCCCCAAGTTGCACCCTAAAGGGTTGCAACTTTATTGGTTGGTGTTCTAGAATTTCAGTGTAAAAGGTACTTAAAATTTAGCTATTTTACCATCTGTTTATTTGAGAAAACTATCGCCATGATCAACCATATTGTCCTACGTAAGACAACCAAACACGGTGAAATCATAATGAAAAAGGATAACAATAGCAACAGATGAAAGAAGAAGATGAAAATAATGTCCACATTTGTGTTTATTCATGGTGCTCTTTTATTACATGTCTTACTGTGATGGTAAGTGACGGTTTACAATTAAGAAAGAACTTAGAAATGTTAGTTTGCTTGTTTCCAAAGAGCAAAGGGAGTGCCACGATGAAGACAACAGCACAGTGAAAGAACTACAACATGTTGTGAGGACTGTACAGAATATTGTCTTCTAAAAAAGCATCATGTTCGAGAAAATATAAACTACATTTGCCATTTAAACAAGTGTCTGATTTGAATGGGCAGTGTGTACTAAGGAGATGTTTGGCCTCCTGGACTTATCTATTGTTATAATATTAACAATGTAATGTTATAGCGTGTTTGCATGCATGCAGTATGCCATAGCTTACTGGTAATAGTTTGAATGATGGTGTATGCCTGCTTCATACATTAATACATTTCTGGACAATCTTCAACATTGTGTTCATTTGTTTTTTATCTATTGAAAGGATTTGACCTTGCTAAATAATAATATGAACTGAAAAACTTGAACAAAACAAAACTTTAAATTCTGAGCTAATTCCTGACGTTAGTTCCTGGGATAATTTGATCAAAAGAGACCATAATGGCCAACAATGAAGGCCATGTTGACAATACAGGCACCATTGGAACTTTGTGCATAACTTAGCTGGTATAGACTTGCATAATTTGTAAATTGTTTGCTAGGAACCATCAGACAATTCCATTTAAAAATCAACCATGTTAACAGAAACCCACTGCAGCATCATAAGTTGAAACATAACTTCCAAATTTATATATAACTTTTTTTCGAATGGCTAAATAATATATTAGGCCTAACTGATAATCCTTTGCAGTAACATACATGGATGAGTACATGTTTATTTTTTCAGCTCTCAAGTAATTATGTAGCTTAATGTGAACATAATATTTTTTAATTTGCTGCATCATATCTTATTTTGTGAACTGTAATATAAAACTGCCAGGATGAACTGTTGGTTTCTTTATGATCAGTCTGACTGCTTGCACCTCTTTGACTTTGTTATAGTGGTGTTGTTGTGTTCCCAGATATCATCAATTACTTGGTGAGTAAATGTTATTGTAACTGGCAGAAATGATGGACAAAACTATAAAAATAAGACCCAAGTTAAACTGGAATTACCTTTCAATCTTTGTACAGACACCAAGTTCACTCACTCACTGTATGTTAGGAACTGGTGTAACTCATGAGTGTAATGAACTACATCAACCAAATAAACTTCTTAATGTGTTGAAGTGACAGTTGGAATAAGTGATGTATTGTCTTAATTAGGTTATAATCAAATTACAAGCATAAATAGATAGAGCAAGATGGTGCAAAACTTTTGCAGTTTAATGAGGCAACAATCATCCTGTGCTTGTTTCTTTACTTTTCAGCTGCTTCAATAACAATTAAGCAGATGGTACACTTGGACGGTCATCAATCTGTTTGAGTTCACTGTGATTTGAATACCCTCTCTTTGAATGAGTACACACTGCCCATTTGGTAGAAAAGTAGAAATGTGAAAAATACGCAGAAACACTGTAAATACTGATATCATGCTTAGTAGAAATGAGTATCCGGTGACTGAAATTCTCTCAATACAGAATCATGAAGTAACATACAACTGCACCGAGTACATCTAAAATGCAAAACACACAAAAATAAGACAGAGGTGGGGGTACGTAAGGAAAAGGTTATTTCAATACACTGCTGTCTCCATGGTCCTGATAAAAGCCCCATTCTAGTGACAATAGAACTACAACAACAATTAAAATGATCAAAAGATGTAACGATTACTCAACAAATGGCAAAAGTCAGAACTTTAAATAAGGTAAAAGGAGTTATTGCCCCCATGGTTTGATAATATCATTTTTTTATACATAAATTGAAAAAATATTTTTTCACATTGAGAGGGAAAATAAAATATTTACTGTACAACAAATGACACCAAACTTGTGTTAACATTTGAGAGGGATCTTCAAGTCCCGATGTATACAGTCCCCCCCAAAAAAATCACCCACAATCCCTTTTTCAATGCTGTTTGGAACACACTGTTAAAAAAACACTTGACCTCCAAGTTATTGATAACCAATTCTGATGATAAGAAAAGCTGTAGAAAAATAAAACACCAGTAATCTCAAGATTAAAAGACCAAATGCCCTTATACATTTTTTAAAATCTCCAGAGAAATTGGAGAGGAATAAATCCACAAATGCTGTACTTCTTTATTTTTTCTCTTTAAAAAAGATATTTTTATATATTTTATATCAGTCCAGCAGTTGATCTTTTGGCAGTAAGTGGAACAAGAGGGGATTGTGGGGAATACTGGGAGGGTTATTGGGAATTTTCTGGCGACTTCATCCCTTTCTAAGCAAACTGCAGTCATGAAGTTTAAAGTTCATAGTTCAATGTTGAAGCTTGTTCCTTCGGATGTGGTCTGGTGGTTCATGCCAAAGGTGGTGAAGTTAGGTATGATGGCTGGGGCTTCTGCGGTAAAATGGTGTGGTGGAGATACAAGTAAGTGGGGAGAGTGGGGGCAGCTGAGAAGTCTAAGGTGTGGTTGAAGGCTTGAAAGATTGAAAGAAAGAGAAATGGACAGACAGAAAAAGAGAAAGATTAGTGGATTTTAACGGCCAAAAATCAGTACTCTCAATGCATGAATACATCAGAAAAAAAATCAGGTATGTGAGCACAAAAGGAAAAAGGATCAAAAGTGTAGGCTTAAGATGTTCCTCTTGATGAAGCTTATAGTTAGGGCTGGCTCATGTGAGTCCTGAACCATCGCTTAGTTATGCTGTTATGGGCCTAGACCACCGGGCGATATCCCATGATGCATCCTACTAACATATAATTTAAAAAAACACACTCATAAAAACAGGAATATTAGACTGTTCCAAATACAGGTCTGAGGTCGGCCACTAACTAAACAAGATTTTTAATCAGTGAGTCATTTCTCACGGTTAAATAAAGGTTACATAGAAATACATTTAAAAACTGAAAATTTAAAATTTAAATTAAAGATGTAAATTAAATGTGCTGCTGTGTGGGTTCACTCAATAGTCTCCACAGCGATGGAGGTGGATGCTCCCTTTGTGTCCTGTGTATTGTCAACTACCTGCTGGCAGACCACAGTGTGTGCACCTGCAACACTGTGTCAGACAGAGTGGTTAGCAATACTGGGGCCCCGCAGGGAACTGTCCTTTCTCCTTTCCTCTTCACCCTCTACACCACAAACTTTAACTACAGTCTTCCCATCACCAGAAGTTTTCTGATGACTCTGCTGTGGTGGGGTGTATCAGCAAGGGTGATGAGGTTAAGTACAGGGTCGTGGTGGGTAACCAAGGAGCTGGTTGTGGAATAGAGGAAAGCCAAGGCTCAACTGACCCCTATTTCCATCCAGGGAGTCAGTGTGAGGACTACTAGTACCTGGGAGTACACACGGAAAATAAACTGGACTGGGCTAAGAACACTTAAGGCCTCTACAGGAAGGATTCTGAGGTCTTTCAACATCTGCTGGACAATGCTGAGTCTGCTGGGGCAGCAGATTGAGGGTTGCTTGTGCTTGACTCTTTCACAGCAGTGTCAGAGAGGGGAATGCTGTCCAGGCCTTGTCATGTCATGTCATCTTGGATGTCTCCCACCCACTTCACAAGGAGCTGGTCAAACACAGGAGTACCTTGAGTGTAAGACTCATTCCACCAAGATGCACCACAGGAACTCATTCCTGCCTGTGGCCATCAAACTCTACAACTCCTCTCTCAGAGTGTCAGACATTCGTTATAACGGCGATTGTAATGTTCTCTTGTTAATGTGAAATACTGATAATAAAATACTCTTTCTGTCATAATACTGCAGTCCTTTAAGAATATCAACATATTAACATGATTATCTATCGATCAAGGCCAATGAAATTAATCAATTATCTAAATTGCAAACATGTCTTAAGTACATAAAATCCTGGATGATTTCTGATGTTAAACTCAGAAAAAAACGTAATTCTTGTACTAAAAACCTCGCTCACTGTCTAAAGATGTAGTTACTCTAGATGGTATCACCTTGGCCTCTAGCACCACTGTCAGGAATCTTGGAGTTATCGTTGATCAGGACATGTCATTTAATTCCTATATAAAGCAAACCTCTAAGACTGTGTTCTTTCATTTACGTAATATTACAAAAGTTAGACACATCCTGTCACAGATGGATGCAGAAAAACTAATCTATGCATTTGTTACTTCTAGGCTGGATTCCTGCAATCCCTTATTATCAGGTTGCCCCAATAAGTCTATCAAGATGCTCCAATTAATTCAGAATGCTGGAACATGAGTACTGACAGGAACTAGGAAAAGAGATCATATTTCTCCTGTATTAGCTTCTCTGCACTGGCTCCCTGTAAAATTTAGAATAGAATTTAAAATCCTCCTCCTCACCTACAAAGCTTATATATAATATCTTAAAGAGCTCATAGCACCCTATTACCCATCTAGAACACTGCGTTCTCTGAATGCAGGGCTACTTGTGGTTCCTATAGTCTCTCCTATAGCTATTATTACTATTGTCAGTGCTCATTGTCCCCCGTTGTCGTCGTCGTCATCTTCTTCATGTTCATCGTCTGTCTGTCTGTCTGTCTGTCTGTCGTTGAGATAACTTCTGTTATGAACTGGCGCTATTCAAATAAAATTGAATTGAATCAGTACTCACAACTATTTTTTCATAACACTTCTGTTGGTCATATACTTAGTTCTATCTCTCTATATTGTCATATTGTGTTATAATGTACATACATACATTTATTATATTTAAGTTTCTATTTTTATTTTATATATTGTATACAGATATATACATTTCTATTTTTATTTCAAGATATATTGTTAGAAATTGTAATATAATTATTAGTCTATTCTTAATGTCATATGAGCACCTTCAACAGCTGTAACAAACAAATTTCCCCCAAGGATTAATAAAGTATTTTTCTGATTCTGATTCTGATAGTTCTAATATGAGCTCCTAATAGAATGAAATAATCTATGTTTTGTATCATGTCTTTGATTTTAATAACAGAGTGCATTAATTTGAATCATTAACAATCCCCCTCACTCTATAGCTGAACAGTAATCATGAACTGCTAATACAGGGCAAAAAAAAAAAAAGCTATTCCATTGGCAATGGAAAAAATACATACATATTGGTAGTTAAGGAGGCTCAGCTTCTACTGAAGTAAGTCGGACATTTTAAGAATTGTTCAAATCTAGGGGATTTACATTTCAGTCCAAACCTGAAGATTACAGGTTTAGAAGAAATATTTCTTCATGTAGAACAATATAATAAACATGTCTATGAGATAAAAAGATGTAGTGGTGGTACAAAGTTGTTTTAAAAAAATTCCACCAGCCTGTGCATACCTTACAGTTAGCTCTGGCTTATTGACCTCTACTGCTAACACAAAGCCTTTCCCCGGCTCCTCCTGCATTTTGCTGCACTCCTGCACTGGGTTGACACTATTACTAAGTCGACTACTAAGCTTGCCACTACTAAGCTAGATGGATATTGAAATATATTAAAAATAATTGAAAGAAAGGTAAAGGTCTCTACTCAATTAATGTGTACACTGTGCAGAATGAGTGCAATTAATGAAAATAAACACAACCGCCAACCTCACCACACATACACAAACATAGAGAGGAGGGGCCAGTGTGTTTACATTCTAACCTCTTAGCCAGCTAAATTAAATCAGTTTGGACCCTTTAACATGACATACCACAATTAAATTTAATATACCTCATGCAGCTGAGTAACAAACAGCAAACACGGCACATCCAAACACTTATACACACAGTGTATAGGCATTTTAATTTACCAATTTGTAATGTATTTAACAATACCATTATCGATTCTGCTTACTGTTTGCATTCTTTGCTAATTCCCTTATTGATTCCTGATGAAATTTGTATAGTTTCTTTGTGAAATGAGGCCACGATTTGGACCGTTTCCTTCTTTCCGTCACAACTCCTTCTTGCTGCAGGTTTCAGCATAGACGCACAAGCCGGCACTGATAAAAGGAATTGATAAGCTTGGTAGCATACAATTCCGATGGATAGGACAATTTGTTACCAGTGCTCATGTGGAACCGCTTCTTGATTCCCATCCCTAGTCATGATCACTGTCATGGGGATGTCCCATGACCTGTAATTTAATTTAAACAACATAGAGTGCTTGTCCACCTCAGCCACTTTTTACATACCATCTTGCCGGCAGGTGTCTGGGGTTTCGTAATTAGTACAGATGTTGGGTTAAAACATGGTAAGGGAAATTGTATTATGTTTGCGTTTGAGTTACATTAGATCTGGAAGGAAGCCTAAGAAAATATTTGGGTTTTAACGTTTTCCATTTGATTAATTTGTGTGTTTCTCACCTCTCCTCTAGATTGCACTTGGCCATCTTTTGATTTGGACCCAGGAACTGGAAAACCAGTCCCTGCCCAGGTGGACTCCTTTTATGGTCAGGTTCCTGGGGGAATGTGCCAAGTGTAGTATAGATGAGGGGGAGATTTAGGAGGCTTTTGGGAGATTTACTATTTTGAACAGTTGGGATCTATTTTACTCTTTTGATATGTGTAGTGAGTTCTTTATACTGTTGACCTATAAAACTTAACTACTTAGATAAATGAATGCTAAAGGTTAATTGTTTTCTTAATTGTAGCTTCCTGTGGTAGGAGGCGCTACCGCACATATAAGCAGGAGTTGAGGGTTCTCCAGGGGAGACTACTTTTGAGGATGTTGGTAGATGGTAAATGGTAAATGGACCTGTACTTGTATAGCGCCTTTCTAGTCTTCCGACCACTCAAAGCACTTTTACACTATGTGCCACATTCACCCTTTCACACACATTCACACACCGATAGCATCGGGAGCAAATTGGGGTTCAGTATCTTGCGCAAGGATACTTCGACAGAGCTTCGACTTCTAACTTTGGGCCAAGCTGATCCTCACTGTAAAGGACACAAGCTGCACTGATCTACTGCTTGGAAAAAAGGGAAATAAAGAAATTTGGACTGACTGAACAGTTTCAAGGTCCCTTCCTTCCTGCTTTTGTCGCTCGAGCAATCTTACAATCACCATTACTATGTTTACATAATTCTATTTCAGCGTCTTTGTAGCCAGTAATTGTTTTGCTGGTGTAATTACAGTCTTCTATCATTACTTCAGAGGCTCATTATGGGCTCATTTAGAACATTGTAATGTGTTTAGCCACGTCTGTGAAATCTTGCCATTAGGCCTTTTCTAAAGCAAAACCATCAGGGCCAGATATACAAAGAAAATGGTGCCCAAATGAGTTTGCAACCACAACCTGCATCTATTCAGCATCTGATTTGTATTATAGACAGCAGTTTATTATGCAGAGAGCTCCTGGACTGTGCCTGCTACTGCTCTTCATGACACAGCTTGCAGGCACAGTTCGGTAGTGGGATTTCTAAGAGATTCCTAAACTCATAAAAGAAATCATAAAAAGAGAGAGAAAGAGAGGAACAAGTGGATATGGATGTTAATGCTGCTGTAAATGCAGCCAATCCTCACTTAAATGTTGGCTAAATCCTGTTTAAACCTGATCTTCACTTAAGAATAGTAACGTACCTATCACAATACCTATTATATCTTAGTATAACCTTAATCCAGCTGAATGAATAACAACCTGTCTTAACATGTTTCCTCCTACTATTTATTTGCGCGATTGGGTTTTACAGCTAAGCTGGCTAGGGTGCCTTATTTTACTTACATGCATTAATGAATTATTTCACAATTAGAAGTCAGTTTTAAATGTACTAATTTATCATTTTGTCTTCTGGTGGGTGGGTAGACTGGCTTAAAGGTTCAGTGTGTAACATTTATTAGGATCTATAAGCAGAAATTGAATATTATTTTCATTGGTATGTTTTTATCTACACAAGGAGCAGGTCCTCTTGTTGAGAGTCCACCATGTTGAACCGTCATGTTTCTTAGCCCAGAATGCCCAACTCCAACACTCGCTCTAGAGGCTCTTTGCGGAGTTTCTTCTAACCACTTGAAGGGGTGAACTGTCTTCAGTCCGCTCTCTTTAAGTTTTGCTTTTTGTACTTCCAGCTTCTGAATAATAACTCCCCGCCCCCATTCTGGACTTCTGGCCATGTAACCAGTTGGTAGAGCTGGCGACCCATATACGGAGTTGCTACAGCGGCCCAGGTTCGAATCCGACCTGCGGCCCCTTGCTGCCTGTCATCCCCTCTCTCTCCATCCACCTTTCCTGTCTCTATCAATAAAGCCACCAAAAGGCCAAAAAAAACCCTAAAAAAACGAAAGTGGGTTCAGGGTGGACACTTACCTTCCAAAGGATCAAAGGTCTGCCTTACTCTGGGGTGATCTCTGTTTCCTGGTGCACAACCACTTTGGTAACAGACATATCAGGGTGCTGTTCTTTAGCCTCTTTAATGGCCTGAGCCAAAGCCTGGAGAGAGAAGGAACAATCCAGGCTTCTTAAGTAGAACACTCCTCTCCCCAGAGACCCCATCTTTGTTGAGTCTTTGTAAAGTTTAAATAATTTTAAAAGGAGTACAGTCTAGACCTGCTGTATTTGAAAAGTCTTCTGAGATCAAATCTGTTATGATTTGGCACAATACAAATAACATTCACTTGAACTGAATTACACAGTTGCTCTATGAGTTAAGAAGACTATAATAACAGAATAAATATATGGCAACACATAATTAAACCAGTTGCATACAGCTTTGAGCAAAACAGCATTATTACAACATAATCTAGTGTGACCAGTGAAGCATGAAAAACTTCTGCCCATCAGAAACTCTTCTTTAACATTCCTTACCTTGTCATGATCAATTTCAGTGTCTCCAGTGATGACAATTCTCTTTTCAATGCGAGTCTCAGAGATCCCCCCTTTCACCGTCTAAAACAGAGACATGACACAAAGAGAGAGTGAGAATGTGTATGAATTTGTACGTTTCTGTTCGATGGGCTTTGCCATCGCTGAGTGAATGTGTGTAAAAGGGTGAATGTGGCACATAGTGCAAAAGTGCTTTGAGTGGTCGGAAGACTAGAAAGGCAATATACAACTACAGGTCCACTAACCATTAAAAGGAATGCTGAATTAGCAGTCCTTGTGTGCAATTAGCGTGTTTTTACTGTGATTTTGTGGAGGTTTTTTCGTGATGGACGTCAGATAATATCCTGATGAGGTTTAAGTCACACTGAATGCAAAAATATGTGTATCATGTCTGTGTGTTCAGATTTGACTGATATAGCCTCCATCAGCTGTGTGTCACAGCTACTGCTGCTGTTGCTGACTGTGTTGGTAAGTGGACTAAATCAGCCACACAACAACTAACATCCAGTTGTTTTTTGAACACCGACACGTATCTGTTCCTTTCACCTCACACACCTATTTGCCTCATATTTTCAGGCTTACTTTCGTTGCACAATGAAATTGAGTTTCTGTCCATACTAAAAACCAAATATATATCTACCTCTGTACATTTCAGCAATACGCAGTTTAAACAAAGACATAATAACTTGATGTTTTAAAAGTATGGCTGGCAGTTATATATTTTTTAAATCTGATGAAAACAAGTGGCAGACTACTAGCAGTCTCCTCATTCTCTAGCAGGTACTTCAGTAGTGTGTTATGATATCACTGGTACTGGTAATTGAAAGCGGGGATCCATCACAGGATGGTGGTAATCAGGGACGTCTGGTATATATGGGCTAACAGGGCTAAGCCCCCCCTATCTTTTACAGTAAAGACGAAAAACTATTATTAAAAACCTTAGAACATATTGTTTTGAATTTTGGTAGAACCTAGAGCAGCACCAGCACCAAAAAGTGACAGAAAAAACCCAGGATATATAATATATCTTGGGCTAAATTTATTTAGCCCAAACACAGTAGCCTAAGCTTCCATTCACTTTTGATTGACAAGTGTCGTGACACGCCCCCTTCATATGCTGCCCATTTGGGCTAAATTTATTCAGCCCAAGCACAGTAGCGTAAGTTTCCATTTGACTGTGATTGACAGGTGTCCTGACACGCCCCCATTTGGGCTAAATTCATTCAGCCCAGGCTCAGTAGCGTAAGCTTCCATTGACTTTTGATTGACAGGTGTCCTGACACGCCTCCTTCATATGCTGCCCATTTGGGCTAAATTCATTCATTCACAACGAGCTGGTGAAGAAAAACAGGCATTCACTATCACGGATTGTGGACTATATTACATTTTGTGGGGACACAAGCTTGCCCTGCGGGGGTCCAATTAATCTCCCACTTCACTCCAGCAGCGACCAGTTCTCTTTGTTAGACAGTCAATTAGCTGATCACCTGTCAAACACACAGGTTGCAAAGTACACGTCTAAGAACACAGATTCTCTCAAAATGAGACAGGGCCTGGAGAATTTTTCGTGCTTCATATCTGAACTGCTGACCACAGATGACAATCAGCCACATCCAGATGCGGACACAGCTGCAGCCGCTGTAACGCCATGCAGGATGCGGCGCTCTGATAATGTGTCAGTAGCCGCACAGTGTGCTTTGAGAAAGCCAGGCACTTGTTGTCTTTGCATGTGAACATTACCCAATGATCTGCAGGGAGAAACTGAAAGGTGAGCTGATGGTGATGTACAGCAGTGTGGAGTTTGATATGGTGATTAACCTGTTTGCATCACAGAAAGGCCGTCAATGTGAAAGGCGTTTTAAATAAGGTATACCCAAGAAAACAACTCTCTCTTCTACAAATAATTATTTTTGCTTTGGTTTTATAGATTTATTTCTGGTACATGGTGCAAATTGTTGCTGGTACTTTTCTATAATGTAGTTGTAGCGCAATTGGCATGTGCTGATGTGTACAGAGGAGAGAGAGAGAGAGAGAGAGAGAGAGAGAGAGAGATTTTTTGGCATCAGGCCATTCTTTTGGGTATGTCTCCCCAGTGTTGCCGTAGAGCCCTTGCTATAACAAAGTACACAATGTTGTTGCTCTAACTTGATGTGATGCTGCTGTTGCTGCTGTGTGACATATTGATGAGTGTAATGCATTTGTTAGCCCACCCACCCAAAATCTCCACCAGCCGTCACTCTATTGATCTGTATTGACAAACTGTAAGGCTATTGAAGGCAGTGACGTGAACAGACCTTGGTGATCTGGGTGGTGGTGGTGGTGCTGATGGTCTCAGAGGTGATGGTCTGGGCACTCAGCAGCACTCCTGAGTCCCTCTCTGTCAGGCTGTCCACCGGCTGTGGGAGAGAGACCTTTTAAGTGTTACACAAGATTGATTGATAAAAAGAAATATACACAATTGTCCCTTATTAATTACTTGCTATTTGTGAACTGTGATTTGTGTAATTGTGAGACTTGAGATATGAATCATACATGTCCGGTCAAAGAAGCGCTTCTTCTTTAATTTGAGAAATGTTTCCAATTATAAGCTGTTTTATTCAGATTTAGTTTCTTGTTAGCTTTTTGGTCAATGAAAAAAACAACTAGAAAAGCATGATTATATTTCTCAAAGGTATGAAAAAGTAGTGTTTTGGTATTGGCTCCGGGTTCAATGTAAATGGTAAAATGTTAAATGGCTGCATTTATATTGCACTACAATTTGCCCCTTATTCACCCATTCCGATTGATAACAGTGTACTACCATGCAAGCTGCTGACCTGGCCATCAGGAGGAATTTGGGGTTCAATATCTTGCCCAAGGACAGTTAAATATGTGGCCAGGAGGAGGATCGTATCGCCAAACACCGCAATTAGTAGACAACCTGCTCTACGCCCTGAGCCATAGCCAAATGTATGGCAACCACGGCCTCAGGGCAATCTTTGGATATATCACCATTTTTACTAACTGAAAGTAGCCATGAATTGATCTCAAGAAAATTTGCAGAAGTCAAACAAGGGCCAAAACTTCAGACTTGACGAGTCCTCTACAGTGAGCATATGTAACACACACAAGCTTCAGCTTTACTCTGCCTTGCATACAAGATGAAACAATTTAGACCTATAATTGTATTTAATCAAGGACTGCAGATACTTATGAAATTATCTTTCTTTGTGTGCAATTCACAGAATTCCTCTCACCTGTGCTGATTCATATGTGATGGTCTTGGTCTCAGTGTGAACTAAAGGGATATCCTTGTTGGTCACACTTCCTCTCAGGGAGTTTGTGACGTCTGAGATGGTGATTGTCTGGGTCTTTAGCACAGGAGACTGGGGGGATCAGATAAATAGTCAGCAACAAATTCTCTGACTCTCAAACTCAATTAATCATCTATCAATACACAACAACTGTCAAATATTATTATACCTCTTAGCAGCAAGAAATTGAAATACAATGACACATTGCAGCCTTTAAAGGTTAAGATAAACAGTACACTAAACAATGTTTAGATTTTAAGTGAGAAATATGCAATGCAATAAGAGAATCTTGATTCATATTTGATCAGCACTGCCTAGTTTGACAGTCTGATCTGAGTTTTGTGTGTTATACTGGATGGACTCACAGAGTAAAATAGACAAAAAAGTCTTTCTCAAAATGGGACCATCATTTTCAAACTGAGTATAATGATGTATGGAAGAAGACATGGAACTAGAGATTGAGAGCATAAACTCAAGAAACAAATCAGGAATTTAGGCAACAAATAAATCATGTGAGAATTAGGGTAATTTCTCTCTAAGGCTCCATACTATCAGACTATGTTTTTGCAGATCATGGAGATGCCCCCTACTGGCCAGTTGAAGGAATGCTGGTTTAAGAAACTTCCACATTGGCTTAACTCACTACAGCTAACTTTACAGACCTGGAAGTTTTGTCCACTAATTATATACAGTGGAAGCCATCAGCAAGATGAGGTGTCTGCAGTAATATTAGTTGCATTAGCTAAATAAAAAACAGGCTTGTCATATTGATACTTAACATGTCAGTAGCAACTCTATAATGTTAGAGGTACAGTGGGTACGGAAAGTATTCAGACCCCTTTAAAAATTTCACTCTTTGTTTCATTGCAGCCATTTGCTAAAATCAAAAAAGTTCATTTTATTTCTCATTAATGTACACTCAGCACCCCATCTTGACAGAAAAGAAAAACTGAAATATCACATGGTCATAAGTATTCAGACCCTTTCCTGTGACACTCATATTTAACTCACATGCTGTCCATTTCTTCTGATCCTCCTTGAGATGCTCCTTCATTGGAGTCTAGCTGTGTTTAATTAAACTGATTGGTCTTGATTACGAAAGGCACACACCTGTCTATATAAGACCTTACAGCTCACAGTGCATGTCAGAGCAAATGAGAATCATGAGGTCGAAGGAACTGCCCAAGGAGCTCAGAGACAGAATTGTGGCAAGGCACAGATCTAGCCAAGGTTACAAAAGAATTTCTGCAGCACTCAAGGTTCCTAAGAGCACAGTTGCCTCCATAATCCTTAAATGGAAGAAGTTTGGGACGACCAGAACTCTTCCTAGACCTGGCCGACGAGCCAAACTGAGCAATCGTGGGAGAAGAGCCTTGGTGAGAGAGGTAAAGAAGAACCCAAAGATCACTGTGGCTGAGCTCCAGAGATGCAGTAGGGAGATGGGAGAAAGTTCCACAAAGTCAACTATCACTGCAGCCCTCCACCAGTGGGGCTTTATGACAGAGTGGCCCCGACGGAAGCCTCTCCTCAGTGCAAGACATATGAAAGCCCGCATAGAGTTTGCCAAAAAACACATGAAGGACTCCCAGACTATGAGAAATAAGATTCCCTGGTCTGAGACCAAGATTGAACTTTTTGGCGTTAATTCTAAGCGGTATGTGTGGAGAAAACCAGGCACTGCTCATCACCTGCCCAATACAATCCCAACAGTGAAACATGGTGGTGGCAGCATCATGCTATGGGGATGTTTTTCAGCTGCAGGGACAGGACGACTGGTTGCAATTGAAGGAAAGATGAATGCGGCCAAGTACAGAGATATCCTGGAAGAAAACCTCTTCCAGAGTGCTCAGGACCTCAGACTGGGCCGAAGGTTCACCTTCCAACAAGACAATAACCCTAAGCACACAGCTAAAATAACAAAGGAGTGGCTTTGGAACAACTCTGTGACCATTCTTGACTGGCCCAGCCAGATCCCTGACCTAAACCCAATTGAGCATCACTGGAGAGACCTGAAAATGGCTGTCCACCAACGTTCACCATCCAACCTGACAGAACTGGAGAGGATCTGCAAGGAAGAATGGCAGAGGATCCCCAAATCCAGGTGTGAAAAACTTGTTGCATCATTCCCAAGAAGACTCATGGCTGTAGTAGCTCAAAAGGGTGCTTCTACTCAATACAGGGCAAAGGGTCTGAATACTTATGACCATGTGATATTTCAGTTTTTCTTTTTTAATAAATTTGCAAAATTTCTACATTTCTGTTTTTTTCTGTCAAGATGGGGTGCTGAGTGTACATTAATGAGAAATAAAATGAACTTTTTTGATTTTAGCAAATGGCTGCAAAGAAACAAAGAGTGAAAAATTTAAAGGGGTCTGAATACTTTCCGTACCCACTGTAGGTCATTAATGTTAGATCCAGCTGTCAACAGTTAGACTGAAGTTTCATTTCATTCAGGAGTAGTACTTTATTACTGTATCTGTAGCTCTTCAGAGTTTAGCGAGACAGACTGTCAGAGGGTTAAAACTGGTCCCATTTGTCATTACGTGTGTATTACTATTACTGAAGGATCAGAAGAAGTTTTTTCATGTAGTTTGCCAAAATAACAAATCCAGCCAGACTGCCCTAGTGCTTGGAAACTGTTGGATGGGCATTGTGGCTTATGTCTTGATGATGATGATAATAATAATAATAATAATAATAATAATACATTTTATTTATGGAGCACTTTTTGTGATATTCAAAGACACATCACATAAGTTAAAATACAGAACATAACATTACTTTAAAAGAAGCAAAGCAATGGAATCTGTGCCAATAAAAAGTATTTATAGTATTACTTAACTAAAGTTGCTATGTTAATCATGTTATACATTTCCTCTATTTTAAAGTTACAGAATTGATTTAGAATCCTATTTCTTCCATATATATTTAGTAGGGCTGGGACTTTATTGCGTTAATTATGATTAATTATTAAAAATAAGGCGAGAAAAACGCAGTTAATCGCAATTTATTTTTGCACTCCAAACAGAACGGAACGTTGCTCACTGCACGAGTTCCCGGCAAACCCCTAATACTGATGCACAGGACACAACATGAGAAATGGAAACCGATGAGAAGTCGTTGCTGGGTTCGGTGGGCGGAAATTTTAGTTTTAAAAAAACTACCAGGTGGAAAACTGGATAAAAGCAGAGTTGTGTACAAATTGTGCAAGAAAGAATTTGCACTGGAGCACTTCCAGCCTACGCTACCACCTCAATGCCAAACATGTTGCAGCTAGCACAGACAACGCTCCTAGTTCGAGCAGGCAGTGTTGCCAATCCACACTCGACAAGATGACAGGGTTCAGAGCCAAAATGAGTAAGTCCACGACTGACAAATTAACAAACGCACAAAGTGGATTGCAGTGGACTGTCGGCCACTCTCGGTGGTAGAAGATCAGGGGCTAGAAGCTGTGCAACAGATAACGTTGTCTGACCTAACTTATGAACTGCCATCGAGAAAGACAATTTCAAACAAAATTCATCAGCTTTATGACACTGAAAAGCAAGCGAAAGTAGATTTATTGGAGAAATGTGTTTAAGACAGAAAGTTTACAAAAATTCCTGAAAAAGCTTGAATATAGCCAACTTGAATTTAAGTTTGTGCCTTGTGAACAATGCAATCATAATATTCTTTATTCATATTGCACTTTATGTTAACACTCAGTGATGAAACACGATTTTGTTGTTTAAGCTCATTTATGTGTCTATTTATTGATTCAGTCATATACCAAAATCCATTTAAATTGGAAAATGTTGCTTCTCGTGTCAAATATTGATATACGATTAATTGAGATTAATTAATTACAAAGGCTCTAATTAATTAGATTATTTTTTTTAATCGAGTCCCACCACTAATATTTAGTATTACATGTGATGTACTGTGAAAAGCTTTTAAAGTTACAGAAAAGAATGTATGGGCCTTTCAACCAGATATAATGATGACTGTGCAACACACACACATGGCACACAGTATAAAGGTACAGCCATGAACTGCATTTTAGACCAAGATAAGCCCCACCAACTAGAACTGACAACACTGCATTGCAGCTTCACCAAGTTCAGCCCAATATAAGACCAAATAAAAAGTTTGATTGTGCTAAACAGTGATTATCAATAACCTGATTATCAATAACCTGAATATCAATCCACACTCAACAACCCCACAAATGACAAAACAAGGTCCGCACTGCACTTAATATTTACCAGAGAAAAAACCCCACCTATTGCTGATCTCAACAAAAGTCAAACAAGAGCCTTGGTACTACCTCTTGAACTAAACTGTTTACCAGCTCAGTTTTGTCTTTTGTATCTAGTTTAGGTTGAAATTTGTGCTGTGCACGAACCAAAATAAAAAATTTTGTCACTTGCAATAAGCTCTGTGGAAGTTTTATGACACAAAATCCACCAAATGTACATGTGTAATATGTAATAGTGCTGCACTGTTTAACACGGCACAGAAGTGGAGAATTCACCTCCTGTTAGCCAATGGCATGCACAAGGCAGGGTTAAAGTTTGCCATATCATCCAAACCAACCTTGTCCATCTGGTCACAGACTACACCCATGTGGTGAATAAACAACCACCTGAGAAGAGGCCTGTAAAGGAGTGGTCTGAGGAGACCAGTGCTAGGCTCAGAGACTGCTTTGAGACAACAGACTGGGAAGCACTCTGCAGCCCCCACGGCAATGACATTGACAGTATGGCCCACTGCATTACGGATTATATTAATTTCTATGGGGAGAACACTGTACCCTCCAAGTTGGTAAGGTGTTTGCCCAACAACAAATCCTGGCTGCCCTTCGAGATTAAGGCCCTGCTGAATGAGAAGAAGAGGGTCTTTAGATCGCGGGACAAAGAGGAGTCCAGAAGGAACTCCGGCAGAAGATCAGGAAGGTCAGCTACAGGAGGAAACTGGAGAAGCGCTCCCCCCCAGATGTGGTGCTCTGCAGCACAGGTGCACCCCAGGGTGCGGTGCTATCTCCCTTCCTCTTCACCCTTTACACCTCAGACTTCCCCCACAACACCACACAC